TCCACCCCAGGCCCTGCTTGCCTGGGGATCACCTGCAGCAGCTGCAGAACTGTAAGGGTTGCTACCAGTTTCTTCTTCTATCTTTGTCCCAGAAGGATACCCGCCAAATGTCAGTCTGATCACTCCTTTATGAGGTGACTCTTTGGATATACGGGGGTCAGAGGGCTGTTTGAAGAGACAGTCGTCTGTCCTTTATAGGAGCTCAAGTGCTGAGCTGTGAGTTCCATTGTTCATTCAGAGCTGCTGGGCAGGTACGTTTAGGTCTGCTGCAGAACTCATAAACCCCCTTTTTTTCCCAGGTGCTCTGTCCCAGGGAGTTAGGGCTTTATTTATAAAAGTTTCCATTGTGCTGCTGCCTTTTTTTTTCAGGGCTGCCCTGCCCAGCAAGGAGGCAGCCTAGTCCCTGTCTGCCTGCAGAGGCTTTGCCCAGCTGCCATGTGAACTTCCCTGCAGTCCTGTTTATATGGGTGTAGTTAGAACTGCCTCGGCAATGGTGGCCCACCTCTGTAATGGCAGACTCTCTCTGTAATGGCAGGTTGCCTTGGCAATGGCGGGCTGTCTCAGCAAGGGCAGACTACCTTTGTAGGGGTGGACTGCCTCGGTAATGGCAGACACCCCTCCCCCACAGAGCTGGACCATCCAGGGTTCAGCTGTGCTTGCTGTGAAACTCTCAGCCCAGAGCATTGCCAATTGCTTTTTGTGTGTGGGGGGGGTGGGACCAGCTGAGCCTGATCACCTGGCTCCCTGCCTCTGAGCTTCTTTTTTTGTTTAGTTGAATGGTCGACTCTCTCCCAGGTGTTACAGTCACCTGTTGAAAAGGCACTGGGATCTGTGTGATTTCCCGTGCAGCAACTCACTGCACCAGCTGAAACAGTGGCGCTGGGATTCGTGGCACTTTTTTTGCCTGGGAATCTCCTGGCCTGGCTCCCTGTTTCAGTCCCCTTTTTAATCAGATGAATGGGTGGCTGTGCCTTCCTGGGGCTCCAATCGCCTGCTAAAAGGGCACCCAGACCAGTGTATTTTGTACGGAGAACCACCGCGCTGGGGTGCTGCAAAGCAGCCACACTGGCCAAAGCAGTTGCGCCAGCCAAAACAGCTGCGCCAACCAAAACAGCCATGCTGGTGACCCGTGGGGCTCCTCCACCTGGGAATCTCCGGATCTGTGGGCAATAAAAATCTGGCTGGAAATGCGGCATCCACTCACCCTCTGCGCTTTCACTGGGAGCTGCAATCCTGAGCTGTTCCTAAACAGTCATCTTCAATCTTCCAAGTTCTTTTCTTTAAGGATGTTGAATATTGGCCCCCACTCTCTTCTGGCTTGTAGGGTTTCTGCAGAGAGATCCACTGTGAGTCTGATGGGTTTCCCTTTGTGGGTAAACTGACCTTTCTCTCTGGCTGCCCTGAGCATTTTTTCCTTCCTTTCAATCCTGGTTAATCTGAAAATTATGTGCCTTGGGGCTGCTCTTCTTGAGGAATATCTTCATGGTGTTCTCTGTTTTTCTTGAATGGTGGCCTGACTTGCTAGGTTGGGGAAGTTCTCCTGGATAATATCCTGAAAAGTGTTTTCCAGCTTGGGTTCATTCTCTCTGTCACATTCAGGTACACCTATCAAACATAGATTAGGTCTTTTCACATAATCCCATATTTCTTGGAGGCTTTGTTCATTTCTTTTTACTCTTTTTTCTCTATTCTTGCCTTCTCATTTTATTTCATTGACTTGATCTTCAATCTCTGATATTCTTTCCTTCTGCTTGGTCAATTTGGCTGTTGCAACTTGTGTATGCTTCTCGAAGTTCTCGTGTTGTGTTTTTCAGCTCCATCAAGTCATTTATATTCTTCTCTAAGCTGTTTATTCTAGTTAGCATCTCATCTAACCTTTTTTCTAGGTTCTTAGTTTCTTTGCATTGGGTTAGCATATGTTCTTTTAGCTCTGAGAAGTTTGTTATTACTCACCTTCTGAAGCCTGTTTCTGTCAGTTCATCAGATTCATTCTCATCCATATTTGATCCCTAGCTGGTGAGGAGTTGTGATCCTTTGTAGGAGGAGAGGCGTTCTAGTTTTTGGTGTTTTCATCCTTTTTGTGCTTATTTCTTCCCATCTCAGTGGCTTTATCTACCTGTGACCTTTGTAGTTGGTGACTTTTTGATGGGGTCTCTGAGTGGATGTCCTTTTTGTTGATGATGAAGTTATTTCTTTCTGTTTCTTAGTTTTCCTTCTAACAGTCAGGCCCCTCTGCTGTAGGACTGCTGGAGGTCCACTCCAGACCCTGCTTGCCTGGGGATCACCTGTGGGGGCTGCAGAACTGGAAGGGTTGCTGCTGGTTTCTTCTTCTGTTATCTTCATCCCAGAGGGTACCTGCCAGATGTCGGCCTGAGCTCTCCTTTATCAGGTGTCTTTGGGTATACAGGGGTCAGGGAACTGCTTGAGGAGACAGTCTGTCCCTTATAGGAGCTCAAGTGCTGTGCTGGGAGCTCCGTTGAGCAGAGATGCTGGGCAGGTACTTTCAAGTCTGCTGCAGCAGAACTCATAACCGCCTGCTTTCCCAGGTGCTCTGTCCTAGAAAGGTCAGCTTTATTTATAAGTTCCTGTCATGCTGCTGCCTTTTTTCATAGATGCCCTGCTCCACACAAAGTAGTCTAGTCACAGTCTGCCAGCAGAGGTGTTGCTGAGCTGCTGCAGGCCATACCCGGCTGCTGTGTGAACTGCCTCGGTAGTGGCGGGCTGCCTCAGTAGTGGTGGTCGCCCTTCCCCACACTGAGCTGGACTGTCCTGGGTCCAGCTGCACTTGCTGCAAAACTCTCAATCCAGAGCGTTTCACATTGCTTGTTTTTTGGGAGTGGTACCCACCAAGCCAGATCCCTGTCTCTGCACCCTCCCTTTCAGTTGAATGGGCGGCTGTCTCTCCCAGGCATTCCAGATACCAGTTGAAATGGTCACCCAGATTTGTGTGAGTTTCTGTGCGCCAACCTGGCACTGGCTGAAACTGCCATGCTGAAACTCGCAGCGCTTTTTGACCTGGGAATCTCCTGGTCTGTGGACAGTGAAAATTTGTTTGGAAATGTGGTGGGCACTCACCCTCTGCATTGTTCTTGCTGGGAGCTGCACTCCAGAGCTGTTCCTGTTCAGCCATCTTGGATCTTCCCTCCCAGGGATAAGTTTCAAAGATTTCATGGAGGAGGTGGTAGCTTCTAGGCTAAGCCTTGAGGGATGACTAAGACTGAGACCAAGATAGAAGTCCTGGATGCTGCAGGCAAAAGGAGAACATTAGCACAGACACAGACTCCATCAATAGTTATTAAACAAATGTCCACTCATTGATTACTGTGTGTCAGGTCCTGTGAGGGGCAACTGGGATACTAAGCTACCCTCCCAGAATCTACAAACACAAAGGGAAAAGAGGCAAAGAGGCAAGAGGAAGCAGGAGTGGGGGGAGGGGGCAGATACTGGGAAAGGGGAATGGTGTAGGATTAAGTGGAGGGTCTGGGGGAGACGATCAAATTGGTTAGGCTGGATTAAGAACATTCAAGGGTCTAAAATTTCAGATCTTATTAGGTCTTCATTCTCTACCAGCCACAAAAGGTGTTCTAGAAGAACTAGAAGGTATAGAGTTTCTGCTACATACCAGTAAAAACTGCTTTACATACAATATTCTAATTTAATATTCTAATCCACTTTGAAGTAGGTCTGTGTCCTTGTTTTACAAATGAGAAAGCTAGTTTAAGCAACTGGTTAGTGGTGGGAATCTTTGTGACTCCAAAGTCCTTGATTTTTTTTTCCACTACACCATACTGGCGAGACATCATGCTCATCCTATATCCTCTCCTTATTCCCTGGTTGACTATGGGCTGTGTGTATGTTTGTGTGTGTGCATGTGTGTGTGTGTGTATGTACAAATGCATGTGCCTCCTCACGTCTTCCTTCAGACAGGTACTAACTGTGAGCTAAGGGAGATTTTGATTACTTCTGTCCAATTAATGCTCTGTTCATTTGTGCTGTCTCCTTGTGATTATAATTAATTGCTGCTGATTATACTGTGTGGAAGGGAAAGGACAGCCATCAGCAGTTCTGCTTGGGGGATTAAAAACATTGTAATGCAAAACAAAACTGATTCCCAAGGACTTGAATTAAAAAAAATTTGCTCTGTTACAGAAAGATTAGGCATTCTGTGACCAAAATCAATATCCTATGACCTAATCCAGGGATAGGGACAACCTGTTCCTGTTCTGGTCAGCAGGAAGGGTAAAAGGAATTGAGGCAATATACTTACTTGGAAAATTGGTTGTGTGTAAAAACTGCTCATGTGATTTGCAAATCTCTTCCTCATCTGTAAAATCAAGAGGTGTGGTGAAACAAACTCAAAGATCCTGTATTAGCCAAAATTTGGTTGCAAGGGACAGGAAATCCAATTCAAACTGACTTAAATAAAAAGGGAAATTAATCAGCTCCTAAAAGTCCAAAGGGATACTTGTTTTGGGCATGACTGGATCTAAGGACTCAATGTCATGAAGGCTTGGTCAGAAGTTCCCTGTCTTCAACGCCTAAGCACCGTTTCCTGGGTGTTGGCTTCATTGTTCAACCAGCTTTCCCCATCTAGAAGCAAATTAGCTGCCAGGAGCTCCTGGTGGATATCCCAGCCTCTCAGTATAAGGGTAATTCCCTGTTTCACAAGTCCCAGAACTGAGTCAGGTATGGGCCATATGCCATACCTCACTAGTCACTGTGGAAACAGATAGATCAGTGCTCTGACTGGCCACCATTGGGCTGATTCCATCCCCACCCAGAGTCTGAGTGGAGTCAGCTCCTCCTGAGTCACGGAATTGAGACTGGGGGATCAATACAGGAAAATGATGTGTGTGAGAGGGGAATACATTAAGAGCAAGACAATAAAGCAAGACAGATGTCCACCCCTGGTGCCCTCCTGCTCTGCTATTTTATGATTCTGTAACCACTGGTGCACTGTGAAGTTAAGGCTAGAAAATATGAAGGTCACTAAAGTTCAGGGAGTACTTGAGTGAGAACGTGTGATTAAAGCCAAAACAAAGAAGATCATGTATTTTTGATTACCTATTCTATGTTGAACTCCATACCAGGTGCTTTCACATTCATTAAGTCATACAATCTACACAATACTCTTGTTAGAAGCTGTTGTTATTATCGTTTTACTAATCAGGAACTGAGGATTAGTAGATAAATCACTTACCTAAGGTTTATTTCTTCATTTACTTTTTCTTTCCACAGCATTATTTGATGGTGTATGAGGCTGGGGAAACAAGGTTGGAGAAGAGGTGGGCTCTGTCCTCAAGGAACTCACAACCTAATGGGAAAGAGAGGCCAAGAACAGTGGAGATTAGCGGGCCAATGGGTAGTCCCAGGTCTGGTGGCTCCTGAGCCATGCTCTTCTTTGTTCTCTCCAGGCAGAAGGTTCAGGCTTCTCTGCTCTGCCTAGGTAGGGCATTGTTCTGAGAGCTTATGGTTCAAGAAGACTGTGTGTCTCTGGAAGCCCAGACCAATATTACTCAATTGGCTTCACCCTATAGCTATCACTAACCAGTTATCAAAGGAACCGGGTCCATCTACCCCAGATCCACCTAGAAGGGGCTAGAGAGCCATTGCTTCCCTCACAAAACCTTTTGTTCTCTGCCACGAAGACAGAGCCACATCTCTGGCTTCCTTGGAAATGCCTTTCACATGGTGGTATTCCGGGCCTCCTTCTCGTCAACAGATCACTTTTCCAGTGTCCTGGTTCTGATGAACTTTCACTCTTTCTGAGGAGTAAGAGGGGAAGAGCCAGGTCACTTTACCTTCTGGAGTGTGTGACATTTGCTTCACACTGACCCCTGCTCCTTACACAGTTCTCTTCTCACAATCAAACTCTCCATTAACCTTTAGGAAATGACCTCCATTTCTCCTCTTCATGAAATCCTGAAATAATCTTGGCCTAGGAAGAAGAAAAGAAATGGAAGCTAATGTAAATTCCTGCCATTAGCAATATTTATTGTTTCACATAGCAAGTATTTAATTGAACACCTAATGTGCCAGACACTGCTAAGCACAGGGGAAATTATGGTGAACAAAGCAGACATCATTTTTGCAATCACAGAACTTGGTAGCCTAGTGAAAGAAACATATTTTCTTATCTGTTTGGCTCACACTTGTAATCCCAGCACTTTGGAAGGCTGAAGCAGGAGGGTCGCCTGAACTTAGGAGTTCAAGACCACCCTGGGCAACATAGTGAAACTCCGTCTCTACTAAAATACAAAAAATTAGCTGGGCATGATGGCACGCACCTATAGTTCTGGTTACTTGGGAGGCTGAGGCATGAGAATCGCTTGAGCCTGGGAGGTGGAGGTTGCAGTGAGCTGAGATGGTGCCGCTACACTCCACCTTGGACTAGAGAGGGAGACTCCATCTCAAAATCAAAACAAAACAAAAAAGAAATTGATATTTTTCAAAAATTACACTACAATGTAAAGTTACCATCATAAGAGAACCGTGAAGGAGTGCCAGGAGGTTCCAGGAGAGTATAGGACGGCAGACTGACTCAGGAGGTCAGCGATGGCTGTCTTGCCAAAGTGGCAGTGGAGCTGACTTCTGAAGAATTAGTAGGAGTTACTTAGAGGCAAAGAGGCAGGGGGGTTGGAACAGCCTTCTGGGCAGAGGCCCTGCCACAGAGGGAACATGACAAGTGGCACAGAACTGGTTTAAGAAATCCTGTTTCCCATGGGATGAACGAGTGCATGGGATATAATCTGCTTGTTCTTACTGTTACTAAAATAGAGCAGGATGGAGTGAGACATGGAACAGGCATGTTTTATATCCTGACAGTGAGTGGATCCTCATTAGCATGTACCAAAGAGAGGGAGGCAGTCAGTCAGACAGGACAGCTGGCCCGTCAGAGGTGTGGGGGAGTGAGAATGGAAGAGAAAGGAAAAGTTCCAGAAAAAACATATTTTGTCTTAAAGATTGGATAAATATGATGGCCTCATGGGGAGTTTAAGGCCAGCCGCATACCCATCCTGTGAGAGGGATCATTTTCAGCTTTGCTTGACATGAAACCAGGATGTCCACAGAAGAGCATTAGATATAAGAACATTCCAGTAACTGGTCCTTTTAATGGAAATTCACTATAGGGATCATAATAGCCACTTGGCACATCTTCACAGCAAAATAAAATTAGGCAACACTACTACTAAGAAGGGTGGCATTGAAAGTATTCTAGGGAACACAGAGCTTCCTGCCTTCTAGGAGCCACTTTTAGACCTCCTACCCAAGGTCAATGGGGACACCTCCACGCTATTCTCCAAGGCAGGAAACCAGTATGCTATTCTTGATGCTTTTCCTAGTCCCATCACCTCTGCCAGCACCCAAGCATCATCTTTCTTACTTGACAAATATTTCTATGTCCTCCTCACAACTCCCCTGATAGTCACGGCACTCAGGCCCTAGCTCACCATCCTCCCTGGACCAGGACTATTCTCCCTGTCTGTAATCTGGGTCCCCTCCAAAGCCCCCTTCACCAGGGCCGCAGAAGAAATCACCCTGGTACCAAATTTGAACATTGTGTCTCTGTCTCTTAAAACCCTCCCATGGCTTCCCCTTATCTGCTGGAAAAGGTTCATACTCATAACATTACACAAGGCATTCATGATCTATGCTTGCATTTTTCTCTTGCTTCCTTCTTCATCTTTTAGAAGGTCTTCCAGCCACGACACCACCTTCGAAGGGATAGTCATGCTTGTACGTGCCTCTGCCTGTATTCAGGATGCCTTTTCATGACATTAAACTCTCTTTACCTGGCCAAGTCTTACTTTTCCTCCAAGTCAGGACTTCAGTCTTATACTGTATTTGTTGGTTTGTTTATTGACTTTCTTCCCTGCTATAACGTGAGCGCTACAAGAGTTGTTATATGCAATTGTATTCCAGAAACTAGAAAAGGATCTGGTACATCACAGAGTCTCAATTCATTGTTGACTAACTTGTTTAATGAAAAGTCATCTCAGAAAAAAAAAAAGATGGCCAGGTGCAGTGGCTCACGCCTGCAATCCAGCACTTTGGGAGGCTGAGGTGAGTGGATCACAAGGTCAGGAGTTCAAGACCAGCCTGGCCAACATAGTGAAACCCCATATCTACTAAAAATTAACTGGGCGTGGTGACACACATCTGTAGTCCCAGCTACTCGGGAGGCTGAGGCGGGAGAATGGCCAGAACCCAGGAGGCGGAGGTTACAGTGAGCCGAGACCACGCCAGTGCACTCCAGCCTGGGTGACAGAGTAAGACTCCATCTCAAACCAAGACAGTCTTACCCCCTCAATTCAGCACAGGTGTTTCCTAGCCTGAGAAGCTTCCAGGGTGTCTCCAATATTAAATCCTACTTTTTGCACCATGACTTCCCATATGTCCTTCTGCCATAGTATCATTGCCCTAACTTGCAACTTTAATTTACGTGTCTTCTCTAAAAGCTGCTCAAGAACAGGGGCTGATTTCTCATCTCCAGACCCACGGCATCTGGCACAGTGCCTTACACAGCAGATACTCAATAAATATTGAATAAATGAATTTTAAGAAAGCTAAAACTATAAAGAATTATAGAATAAAAATAATTTTTAAATCCACAGGCCTTGTAGTAGGACAGACTGGAGTTCAAGTCCTAACCCTCAGTTTGCTAACTGAGTGATATTAGAAAGGTGACATCCCGAATCTCAGTTTTCTAACCTTTAACACAAGGATATCAAAATCTACCTTGTTTTTTATAATAAATGAAACTAGCACAGTGCCTGGAAGATAGTCCATGGTTATCAACATTGATTTTGTTCCCTAAGTTTTAAGTTCAAAACAACATCTAAAAAGACAGTAACATCAGAGCAGAAATAAAATCATAAAATGTTAGAGCCAGGAGGGTCCTAAAGATTGGGATTTAAGTTTATCATCAAACCTTTCCTAGGGATGGGATTCATTACTGTTTTGCTTGAAATAGAACAAGGATGTCTCAAAATGAGGAATAAATGCAAGGACATGGCTAATAACAAGGTATTATAATGGAGTTTCACTATAATAATAGTCATTCGTTGGTGAAACTGTGAAGCAAGCCAATTCCTCTTTATTATCCAAATGCAGAAATTGAAGCCCAGGAGTGGGTCAGTGACCTGCCCAAGGCATACAGCATTTGGTGAAAGCTGATGCTCAAATATAGCTCTCTTGATTCACAGGACATTGCTCATTCCATTAATCCATGTAAATGCTTCAGATTCAGGCCTAATCAGGGGTGAAGACACAAAGGCAGGGGAATGGGCTTCTTTTAAAGGTGGAGGGCCCCATGTCCTGTCCCTTCGCCAAACCCTTCAGTGGGCCTTTTAAGTTCCGAGCCCAGAGTTTGATGCTTTTCCCAGGAAAAGATTGAACCCCAATTCTCAGCCACAGAATGGCCCAGATTTCAGCTGAGTTTTGCAGTCACCTTCTAGGGCTCATCTTTGCTGAGCTGTTTTTTGACACCTGAAGCAGACTTGGGCCCCCAGACTCTTTGAGGTTTTCTAGTTAAGTTAATGCAGATGCACTCGGGATAGATTCTCCATATTGTTCATTCCATTTCAAGTCTAGCCTGATTTTACTCCCCTGTACTCTGTCAGATTCTCACTAATCCCAGAGGGATCCGACTATAAGAAGGGAACAGGTCAGAAAATGAGAAGAAGGAACATTACCTGGAAGATGGTGGTAAACTCAATTATCTCTAGCCACAGACCTAGAGCAGAGATTCTTAACATTTTGGAAGATGCTGATTTTTTTTGAAAATTGTAGAACATTATGAGTAGTCTCCCCAGAAAATTTACATAGTTTGCCTGTAACATCAGAGGGTTCAGGAACCCCTTAATAGCCCTTCTGCTATAGAGGCTTACAGAACATCAGAGCTAAAATGTTTCAAAACATCAGCAAGCCAGTCCCTCCTCCAACTTTACAGATTGGAAAACTGATACCCAGAGGAGACTTGCCCCAAGCAAGTGCAGCCACTCAGAAGCAGAGCTGGGGCCTGAAGCCAGGCCCACCAGAACTCTCTTCTCTGCCACTCCAAGATCCCGCTATGCAAATATTTACTTTGGTCTTCAGTCTCATTTTTAACTGTGCATCCAGTTGAAGCTTCTAAAAATATATGTGAGACAAGCAGGAGCCAAGTATCTCTCAGAAGAGTAGAGCCCCCTCTTAAGTTGAGCTGCATCAAAGTCCCAGGCACTGCAGAGCTGGGGCCCAGCTAGGCAGGCACAACCAATTCCAAGAGCCAATTTTCAGAGCCATGGCCGACTGTCAGTAAGGACAGAGGGGCACTGCGGGGAAATTGCTGGTGCCTGGATTGGAAGAGCAGGGTCATGAGGAAGCCATGAGGCAAGTGATAATGTGGGATTTGGAGAAAGAGATTAATTTCCCTCCTGAGTGAGAAGTGGGTCTGAGTTAGACAGACGAACTATAAATACCAGGAGTCCAGGCAAGAAGAGAAGGGAGAGGCATCTCGGGTATTGAGGTGTGCTAGAAATGGAGGGAGGACACTCTCCTGACAAAGTAACGAAGAGAGTGGTTTAAAAACCGTCTTACTAGATTCATGCAGCCTGTGTGTGGGATCCCTCTCCTTTCCCTGTCTCCCAGCATCCATTCAGGGATTACTTTTTCCAAGTAGGGAAGAAAACACCCTTCCCTGTCAAGACCCTGCCCACCTCTCTCATTTCACTTGCTGCGTCTTCACCAGATACTGTACAACCACTAGACCAGTGGTTCTCACCCAGAGGTGCGTTTGCCCCGGGGAATGTTTGGCAGTGTTTGAAGACATACTTGGTTGTCCACAATGAGGTGGGTGCTGCTGACCTCTAGTGGGAGAAACCAGGGATGCTGCTAAACACCCCACAATGCACACGACTGCCCCCACAATACAGAATCATTTTGCCAAACATGTCAATA